AGGAAGTCGCCCACACACTGGTGCCGTAATGAATGCTGTTTGTCATCCCAGTCCTCAGTCAATTCTAGTCTATTTCTTAATGAGACGCCTAGTGGTTAGTCCCACGTTTTCTGGCTCCACTCTTGACCATATGACTCATGCACATCCTGAAGAGCTTCACCTAAACATTGTCCTGCTGTCTTACATTCTGTCTGTGGAGACAAAGCAGGACACCATTTGTTTGTGCATGAGACGGAGCATTTCACTGTATAAGGCATCTACTTTCATGGTATTGTGTTTAGCAGTTTTCAAATCTGATCAGCTCAAAGGGTGTTTTTTTTTTGTAGTTTGAACTGGTTTTGGTACTATTTTATCTGGGAAAATAGGGTCTCAGAGATTTAGTTTGATTAATTTTTTTTTTCCATGACAAAGGAGTGAATGGATGGAGGAAGAGGCTCGTATGATATTACGCTTCCCGTCTGTGCTGTCCTGCAGAATCAGAGCCAAAACTCCATAGCAGTGCTTTATAAACGTGTTCTAAACATTCCATAAATGTCATATAAATGTCTCGGCCGGCTCCGGCAGGTCTGCAGAGAGCTTGAAGTGTTTAGACGGAGCACAGATTGATCCTCGCTGAGCCAGAAATGGGAACATCACTAAGCGTTTGTACCTGCTAAAGAGGATCTCATTACTCTTCCCTTTTTATTTACTGAACAACTCTTGGCCAATTTAAATAGAATTTACATTTCTAATAATAAGTCATGTATTAACAGCCATCAAAAACATAAATTTCTTAAAATCTCGGCACTGAAGTCTTGTACAAATACCTTCTAGAACTTTGCCTCAGTTTGTAAAATCAAACGAAAAACCGACGTAGAATAAAGCACATTGCAAGTCAGTGGGGCAGCTGTTCTCTACATTTTGTTTCAGCATTTACATGAATTGGACCAGAAGAAAATGTTTATTATCTGATCTGTAAGTCATCTCAGTTGTCTTTTTGAGGTGAGTATCTAGGTTAGGGTTATCTAGGTTAATGGTTTTCTTTGTCTAAACAGTACTTGTGGATAGTTGCGTAACATCATCAATTGAGTGTATTGCATGAAAGTTACAAGTTTACTAGCTTTATGTGGTCTTGATGCTTCCAAAATAAACATTATGTATATTTGCAGAAACGTTGCCACATAGGCTTCTATTGCAAGTGCATTACTATATTTGTTTCAGTTTTTAACAACACGCTGGAAATATTTTCTTACCGAACATGTAAGTCTGGATGCTCATTGTGGTTGAAATGTTTATAAATGTAATAGTAGGTTGCTCACACCACTAAATCGCTTGTCGGAGATTGCTACTACCCTTTTATTACTGGCTTTCATAAACGCTTATGTAAGCTTCCTCTGGAATAGGAGAACAAAAAGCTAGCAGCTGGATAAGTGGACCAGCTCTGGTAAGAAAACCAGCACAGCTCTCTCTGTTTCAACACTACATGATATTTCAGTAGCGATACCAGCATTTACCAACTCAAAAGCTAGCTAGGCAAAACGGGAAGGGAACGGCTAGCTTGCGATTTTGTTCCTGAATGGGGGACTTTGACCAATCAATATTGACCTTTTTGGTCGACTGTTTTCGTTTTGCTGGTTTTGAGGAACTTTGAGTTAGTCCTCTATGCATTAAACTATGAATACACTATAGTTCAAAAGTTTGGGGTCAGTATTATTATTATTATTTAAAATAAATGTATACTTTCATTCACCAAGGCTGCACAAAATTGATCAAAAGTCAAAGTAAAGGCATTTATAATGTTACAAAAGATTTATATTTTAAATAAATGCTGTTTTATCAAACTTTCCATTCATCAACTGAAAAAATTATAATGGTTTCCTCAAAAATATTAAGCAGCACAACTGCTTTCAGCATGGATAATAAAAATAAATGCATCTTGAGCACTAAATCAGTGTATTAGATTGATTTCTGAAGGATCATGTGACCCTGAAGAGTGGAGTAATGATGCTGAAAATTTAGCTTGGCCATCTCAGGAATAAATTATATTTTAAAATATATTAAAATAGGAAACAGTTGTTTTAAATTGCAATGCATTTTTCACAGTATTAAGGCCCGTTCACACCAAGAACGATAACTATAAAGATAACTATAAAGATAACAATATTAGCGTCCACACCAGGGGCCCGTTCTCCGTACGTCGCTTATTACATCCGAGATTAAATGTCACATCCAAGATGATATCATCGCGCTAATCAGGATCTGGCTAATTCGGTTCTTCAAACACACCTGTTATTGATGATTAGTATGGCTGGATTTAGTTATCTGAGATAATTGCGCATTCATGGGTTGGTTTAAAAGGGGCTATGTATCGATACTCGAAACCACGATCAGCAATGCAGCGATTGGCTGGCGGCAAGACAGCAACGTAATGACGTCATATAATTAAAAAAGACACTGACGAAAAACTTGACAAAATTTTGGACTTTTATAAGGAAACAGCCAAGCGAACAAAACTACATAAATGTTATAATAGATAAATGAAATGTGCACTGTTTTTATTTTATTTTAATTTTTTACATGATTCCCAATTATTTATATTCACTATTTCTAATATTTGTACAGGCTTTACGTTTTAATTTCAATGTAGCAAATAGCAATTCATTTAATTTTATATTTGACCAGATTTGTTACATGACAGCATTAATTACAGTTTCTTAAGGGTCAAGATCATGTTATCTGCATCTCCTGCAGTGCGCACCTGTTGCTATGACAGCAACTCCGGGATGAGCTTCGAAGAACCAACCAATCCAAGATCATGCCAAATCATCAACAATCATATCCAGCTAACTGAGTTAGCGGCGTACGAAGAACGGACCCCAGCAAACAATATCGTCTGTTTATTCTAAGCGCTTGCGTGTCTGTCGCTTTAAATTCTCGAGCTCGTTACAGCAGGATGGATTCTGATTGGCTGTGAATATTTTTTATCGTTCATCAGCTGGAAAAAATCGTTCTGAAAGTGATTCCAACGATATTGTTTCTCTGCGCCTTTATCGTTATAGCTGTGGTGTGTGGACTCTGCTATTCTTTAATATTGAGAACGATTTTTAGAACTATATCTTTATCGTTATCTTTATAGTTATAGTTCTTGGTGTGAACGGGCCTTTACTGTTATTAATGTATTTTTATAAAACGGATAGTTCCGGTCCTCGATTCTGATTGGCTGAGCCGCGTTCAAAGCTGTTGTAAATTACTCTACAAACATACACCTTTGTTTACTTTGTGTGTTGCTTGGCAACCACTTTGTTGCAACCACAGCTGTTTCTGAGGAACTACTTTGTTTGGTGGAAGAATACGTCGTGCCTAACAACGCCCCTTAGCTGTTATAAATTCACTGTAAACCACGGCTTCTTGGGGCTTATTGCTTTATTGATGTTTTCAGTAGTCTTAAAATGTTATTTTACCATTTCTTGAAATACAAGTTGTGTGATGAAGTGTTTCATAATGTGTACTAAAACCCTTGAGTCATGTCGAGTCTTTTCTTCAGCTTTGAAAAGCATCTTATCATCAGTTTTGCTACCTCTCCACACAGGCGGTTTACCGTGATCATATCAGTGCGCTGTGTCATCGGCCTGTTGAGGCTTCGCTCTTCAACTCATTTCCTGTGCTACACTTAAAAAAAACCTCCCAAAACATGCCTTATCTGCCTAGATATCAGCACGAACACTGAAACTCTGCAACAAAGCAGATTCATTCACTGAACCTCTGGGCGGTTGCTTACTGGCCCAAGTCAGAAGAGCCTGTTCCCAAGTTAAGCCCAGTATGCATCTCTGTTTTGATGATTCATCCTTATCTGATAATGTGCCTCCGGTCGGAATTCGCAAACATAGCTACTCATTCACAGCTATTGACGCTTTTGTTCCGTCTATGGCTCTGTTTGCTCATCTGAGTGATACCCAGGACAGTGAGACTACAGTATTTTCAAACAAAGCCTTGAACCCATGGGTCAAATTGCTGCGCTTCTATTGACTGGCTTCTGCATTATGCAGAGTGAGTCAGGCTCCGTGCCTTCTGTCTATTGTTCTCCATTCGGTAAAATAAATAGGGAAGTAAAGGCAACCAGAGGGGTAACTGTTGACAGAAGACCTTACACAAGTTGTTCTATAAGAGTCGTGGGGGATAACATCTACTCTTACCAAATAACATCATCCCTGTGAATGCGTAAATGTGTCTAGTTACTCTCTAGTAAATGTGTCTAGTCCTGCCTGTTCCACAATTCAGATGTCTTTATATTGTTTTTGCTTCTCTTTTCCCTGCTTAAATGATCATCACCGCTGGTCAGTGGGAGTTTTAGTGCTTTGACATTTGGTATTTCTTGCTTGTTATGCTTGGTTTTTTTGGTGTTCTTCAATAACTTACCGGTAATCATAAATCACCATAAAGTTATGGATAATTCTTATGTTTTTATGAAACATTGAAATAATGTTTAGTATAAATAATTTGCCTTTGCACATAATTTTTCTTTTTAAGTTCATACGTCTTCATAATCTTTCATCAAAAACATAACATTAACATAACATAAAAACATTTTTAAAATGAAAAAAAAAAAATGTCACTTGAATTTTTTAATGTTATTTTTATTTTATTTTATTTGTTTTGCTTTGTTAAAAGTTCTGAGGCTCCATTAGCAAAGATGCCAGATTTCAAATAGCATACTTCCAGGTTCCTGCGTCAGCCAATCAACTGCCATTTGAGATAAATAATGCTGATGGATAGTGTTTTTCATGTATTTTAAACTCATTGATGTACAGTGAAAGTTTTTTAAAACTTTTGCTCACATGACGAGGGTCGCTTTCGCAAACCTTTGCATTTTCCCTCTTATCTTTGCTGTTTTGATGGAGAACAGCTTGGTCCACCTGCTAAACTAGCACCAAACCAGCAAAGACCTCCATGTAATCTCATTAATGCATATAACATTGGCACAGGACTCACCTGTCTCGTCCTGTCTCTCGTTCTCTCTGCAGATGTGAGGATCTGTTCTCCTCCATTTATGGTGCTGAACAGTGAGTGTGGCCCAGACACGCTGGAGCAGATCAAGCAGCACAGTCTTACATTCCCTTTCAGTAAGTTCCCACCTTGTTTAAGTAAAATAATCTGATATACATTATTTATTTTGAGATTTTGCATGGTTTTGTTTTGTATGGTCATACAGCATTCATTTTATTTGTGCAGAAAAGAAGTCTTCAAATTTGATTGACAAAAATCAAGTGACTGCACCAATAGCTATGACCACAAAGACGCAGTTTTCAATAATGTCCCTTACTAAACTGCTATTAAATCACAAAACTAGATTTCACTGCATTAAAGGTTTTAGGAGTTGCATGCATTATTAACTAAACAAACTCATCCACTACCTTAGAGTGTTTTTCTTTTCTTCTCATCCTGCACAGTTTGCAAAACACGGGTTGCTCACGGAACTAACTCTCATGAGGTAAGAGACTTTTCTAAATGTTTTTGTGAAACGTGACCACAGAGCTCATGAAACACTAATACACTCGAAGCATTGTTTCAAAACCTAGTTGAGCTGCCTTTGAAGTCAGCATTCTCTGTGAAGCTGAACCTCAGAAGTAGCTAATCTGGAAAGTTCAACTACACGAGATTCTTTTTTTTTTGGTCAACATCCACTTGATATGCACAAAAGGTTCTTTATAGTGAAAAAAAATCTTAAGATTATTAAAATGTTCATACTAAGAAAACAAAAGTTCTTAAAATGTTCTTTGTGGAACCCAAAATGGGGGTTCTGTGGAATTACGGTGAAAAGCCTCTTTTGGAAGCTTTACTTTTGAGAGTGTTTTCATCTTTTGTCTCTTCTCACAACAGATGGCTATAATATTCAACGCAGAGGACCTAAAGGACGTGAAGCAACCGTGTGTCATTCAGAGTTTTATAAACCACAATGCCGTGCTCTATAAGGTGTTCGTGGTAGGCGAGTCGTACACTGTGGTGGAGAGACCATCACTCAAGAACTTCCCCTCTGGACCGTCTGGTAAAACTTCAGCCCACACTTCAGCTCTTTATGCATGTTATTTCCATGAAAGGCCACTGCTGCGAAATGGTTTGTTTCACTGCGATTGGACCATTCCGTTTGTTTAGGCGTGATTTACATTACAACATTCCTGCTGTATAACCCAGATGCCTTTGCATAGCTGATTTTGCAGTGAAAAGAGTCGATCAAATTTTGCTGCAACCCAGTCAGCAAAAGTGCTTACCCAAGTCTGGTTTCCACTGCGGGCTGCTATAAAGTATTGTCCGTTTGCATATGCTAATGTACTTGGAGTCCATGCAAACCAGTTACGGTTACTGGGAGAGCGACTTGTTAGTTTAATCCAAATTCAGGAGGTCAGCTCTGTGCCCCACATGCCTTGCCTTCCAGCAGTATTCAAATAAAAAAAAAACCTGTTTAGAAGATTAAAACAAAGAAAAAAAAGAGGCACAGTGTTTTTAAAGACAGATCAGGCTGTTAGTGATTTCTAAGAATTCTGTGAAGGTGTGAAATAAAAAGGCTGAGGAATTTCTTATGTAGGTTTGTAAAGTTCTTCAGTAAGATTCCGGAAATCAGAGTTTATGTCACAGGCCTTTTTTTATAAATTTTTTTTTTTTTTAAAGATTTTAATGACCAAAACTATCATGTTTTAAGCCCAGTGCAAAGCCAATGAGAACTCATAACACCACATAATACATTTTAATTATGAATTATTATTTTCTTAATATATATATATATATATATATATATATATATGTAATATAATTTAAAGAAAAGAGTTTAATTAAATTAAAACAAATACATTGTATTTGATTTATTGATTGTTTAGTCTGAATACATAGGCGCACATTTTAATGGAGAAACATTACTTAGTTCAGAATAAACTAATGTTTCTACACAGGCATTATTGAGCAATGCAATGCATATTTTCATGCTTTAAGAGAATTTCAAAATAAATAAACTACGAATATTAATAAGATTTGTAGGTTATATCCAAATTTTAGTTAAAATGTTTTAAAACATATATGGCTTTCTAAACTACAAAGCATGTTGCATTTTAATGCCTTTTAATGTTTCACCTTCAAATAGATTGTTTTCTTTATTGAATGGCACGAGGCAGCCATATTTAGAAGCTATACAGATGAAGAGAAATTTTATTAGGTTAAAAAAAATATTATATTTGAGGATTAATAGATGTACATCATGAATATTTGGGGTGTTTTGATGTTTGCAGAAAGAAGGAAGGCTAAATGGAGGGTCGCCGTCTCCCTTAATGAATTTCTTTACTGGCATTTGAGTGGGAGGCCATAAATCTCAGCATCCTCTTGGCACTAGATTTTTGTGTTTGCTCCTCCTCCTCAATCTATTTATTCTCCCTCTCTGCCTGGCACTCCTGAAGCTTTGACTCTCTCAGCTGAACCGCAGCTTTCTGCTGCTGTCTAGTGGCTTCCTGTGCACTTGCACTCTTACACTTTCCCTTTTATTCAACTGAAAGTGTTTTTCACAGTAATGTGTTTGTTTTTATGCCCTTACAGACAGAAAAGCGATTTTCTTTAATAGCCACAATGTGTCCAAGCCAGAGTCGTCCTCTGACCTCACATCTGTAAGTTCTCTCTAGTCGACAGAAAGTATTGTGTTCACTAAAGCTTTAATACAACAAATCCTGGTGGGAATTTAAGCAATGGGTATTGCATACTTCTCTTTCGTTTGCATTTTTGACAGAGAGATAATGTAGAAGGTGTTTCCCAACCACCAAATGAGGGTGTCATTAGGGAGCTGTGTAAATCTCTACGGGAATCTCTTGGTGTTTCGCTCTTCGGCATCGACGTCATCATTAACAACCAGACGGGCCAACACGCAGTCATAGACATCAATGCATTCCCTGGTGTGTATCTCTTATCTGTCCATGCAAATATCCTGCTAACTACAAGGCAACTCTCCCGTGCCAGATAGAGTTTATATACACGAAACATTTAATAATTCTTTAATTTGTGCGCATACACTCTTATGAGCACCAAAGCTGCATTTGTTTGATCAAACATACAGTAAAAACAGTAATATTTTAAAATATATAAAGAACTGTTTTTGTCTTTAGTGTCACATTATCCTTCAGAAACCATTCTAATATTACGATTTGGTGCTTAAGAAACTTTTCTTAAGAATATCAAAGTTGAAAACTGTAATAATTTTGTGGGGGAAAAAAAAAACTTACCCCAAATTTTTGAACAGTAATTGGTAAGATGATGGTTGGTTGAGGTTCATTTGCATCTTTGTCTCCCAAAAATATATAATGTGTTTGTATCAATAACAAATATGTGCAAGATGATGAAAAGGGAAATATGTAGGATGTAAGTTTTATAATTTAATAAGTCTAATAACCTTATGTTGGTTTCATGGGGGATCATAACATTTCCAATTTTTTGCTTTAAGTGGAAGTTATTACATATTTTCCCTACATTTTGAATAATTGAGTGTATTTATCTTAATATTTATTTCCAACCTGTTTTTCAACATCAAGTATTTTTTGAGAGCCATAACATGTTTTCTTGGGGTCATGCAATTTGACATCATGAACTAAATATATTTTATGGTCTTCTTGTCACATGACAACAAAATAGCTGTCTACATGTTAGTTATACCACTTGCATATAATATATTAAAATAATATATTAATATCAATTATAACATTTAAAATAAACAAAATAAAAATTGGTTATAAAATCAAATAAAAAGAAATTAAAATAATGAAAAATAAACATTTAAAATGAAACTGCATCACTATTTTTTTAGGAAATAATATTGTCAATATCAGTATTAAGAAGTAAAAGGACATTACAAGTTGGACTGACTGTCAGGCACAGCCAAAAGTGAGTTTTGATTTAGATCTGTGCTGACCTGAGTCGCAAACTGTTTCAGATAGTCCAGTATGATTTGGTGAACTAGTTCATCCAGTTCACTAAAAAGAACTGGTTCAAAGTAACGATTCATTTGCGAACCGGACATCACTACTAGGAACTGTGGAGTTAGATCTATGACGTGATTTTTAAATTGCACAATAAACTACGACTACTAAGTAAAATAGCAGTGTGTCATCGATTAACCTCACACACAAACCAAGCACACAACAAACTCTCACTTCACAAAAACTATATTGCATATGTGCTACTATGCAAAATGTATTCATTGCACAGACCGATTTTTTGTTTTTGTTTTAATAGCATGTTCTCACTGACCAGTTTGTGCTCAAAAATCCTCTTCATGACCACTTGTTTTTACTCTTCTCAGGGTATGAGGGTGTCCCAGAGTTCTTCAATGATCTCCTCAACCACATCATCAGTGTCCTCCAAGACCACTCCTCCAGTGACCCCTCTGCCCCGCCCCCTTTAGGCGCAGGAGAGCGCAACCGCGCCCCATCCCAGGAGTGCTGCGGCATGCTCGGCAAAGAGTCGGACAGCAGCCCCTGGATCGTGGAGGGCGACGGTGGTCTGAAAGGCCCACGTCAGAGACTGGTCTGCAACTCGGCCATGTCCCCCAACTTCCAACAGCACTGCGTGTCCACGATAGCCACTAAAGCCTCGTCACAATAACTGCCGTGTCCCCATGCACCCCTCGTCCCGCCGTCCTTCCCTGAACAAATTGTGAAGACAAACTGAATAGTATACAATAACAATAATAACTATTATACTGATGAATATATCTGTAATCAAAAATAAACTATATTGGGAATAATCATGATGTTGATAATGAGCATTGGATTCTATCTCCTATGCCTTTGTATACGTTTTATTTTTTCATTTTCTTTCTCTTCAGTCTAACAACTCAGTACTGTAATGCGAACTTTCGGGAAATCAACAGTGATCAGCAGCTATTTTATCTTTTTTTTTTTTAAATAATTTTTAATTTGAATCACAGTGGATGTTAATTAATTGAACACGTTAGATATCTACGCTGGAAAAGATTCTGAAGTTTGTCTTTTGTTGCTGATGGAAAAAACTAGCAGTTGTGTGTGTTTTTAATGACACAGAACACAAACACACCCAATAATCTAACAAACAGGACACCTTAAATGTCTTTGTGCTCTGTATTTAGTGGAAATCCTATATTGTGAGGATCCATGTTGTTGTGCAGCATCTATAGATCTGCTCCGTAAGACAAACGAAAGCCCGGCGTGCAGCTCTTGTAGGCTGTGTGCCACTGTGTTTGATCTTGAGACACTCCGTAATCTTTTCATAATGTTCCAGAAGACTTTCATCATCCTTCTGTAAACATTGTGACACCTGACATTTTTCATGTGCATTTCAACGCATCATATCATAAAGTATTATATGAAGTTGGGGGGAAACCGAATGATGAAGTTCCAGGTGAACTGTCAAGTATCATTAATGTTTTGATCGTTGTTTTGAAGAGGCTAAAATTCTACTATTCTTCTTATAAAACGGATAGTTCCGGTCCTTGATTCTGATTGGCTGAGCCACGTTCGAAGCTGTCGTAAATTACTCTACAAACATACACCTTTGTTTACGTTTGTCTGTTGCTTGGCAACAACACCTCTTAGCTGTTATAAATTCACTGTAAACCACGGCTTTTTGGGGGTTATTGCTTTATAAATCTTGGTTTTTTTTTTTGTCAATGTTAAGTTTGGTTGGACGGTTGCAAGAGGATATTCTAACATTCCTTGTATGCGTGTGTTGTTTTTTAGCAGACGGTTCTTTAAAAGTTTTAATGTTTTGTATATGATCCAGTTTTGAAAGTCATATTTATGACTCCGCTTCAGATTAGTACACTGTCGTAAATTACTCTACAAACATACACCTTTGTTTACGTTTGTCTGTTGCTTGGCAACAACACCTCTTAGCTGTTATAAATTCACTGTAAACCACGGCTTTTTGGGGCTTATTGCTTTATAAATCTTCGTTTTTTTTTTTGTCAATGTTAAGTTTGGTTGGACGGTTGCAAGAGGATATTCTAACATTCCTTGTATGCGTGTGTTGTTTTTTAGCAGACGGTTCTTTAAAAGTGTTAATGTTTTGTATATGATCCAGTTTTGAAAGTCATTTATGACTCCGCTTCAGATTAGTACAGAACAAATGGCATAAGATGGATGTTAATGTATATGTTGGGAGTATTTTGTCTTGTTCTAATTGCAAAGAACACATCTCTTCCACAGAGAGTTCAGCGCTTTGATTCTTGGTTACCATTCCTTGGTAAAATAACAAATATATATATTAGACTTGTGCAATTTTACATATTCTTCATTATAAATGGAATAATCGCTAACTTGTCTGAAAATTACTAATGAATACAAAGTATTTGTTTTATACATCACATTGTTAGTGAAACATTGCATTTGGTTGCTGATTTAAATTCATTTCAAAATTGGTTTAGCACTAATATCAATGTACTTAAAACCATCTGAACAATTGAGCAGTAATTTATACATTTAATTCAAATGTAATAAAGCCAAAAAGGGATTTGAAGCTTTTTAGGTTCTCTTTTGGAAACTTGTTTGCATATATTGTATTGAAAGCCTTGGACATCCCACAGCAGTTTTTTTTTTGTAGAATTACAAAAATTATCATCTTATTTGTATTCATGTTTATAAAAGAAATTTCGCCCACTCCTACACGTTTGAAGACCAACAGAAAACCGCTTGTTTTTGTTCACTGTGAGAGGAATGAATGTGTGGAGATATTTGACAAAGAATGTCTTAATGTGGTAAACCAGAGCGGTGTGAATGGACTGCTGTCATCAGCATCTGCTCCCGCTTTGTTCAGTTTATATGAAGTGAACATTTATGCCACTCCACTGGCCCTTAGCACCTTATGTTAATGCTTTTCTTGTTCTTATGGGGTCCATTTTTTGAGATGAATATTTTCATAGGTACACCAATATCCTTTTCTATAATAACTCCCTCCATTGTTATGGAATACAAATTAAATGGTCATTATCATTTAGATGCCGTTTCGAAGAATATGAGCCATGTTGACTTCAACAACAATTCCATTTTTTTTTAATTGGACATGTAGCCTCTTGCTTGGCATGGGTATTTATATCAGGAGTGTTGGAATATGTTTATATGATTAATGGGGAGTGTGTTCAGATTAAGTTTGCATTTTGTATATCCTAAAAATGCTCCAAGTCTGAGTCCTTTGAGAGTTTGAGAGAATGACGCCGACTTCAACACAGCTTTACCTTTTGACTGTGTACGTTTGCCTTCATTGTGCTATCAAATAGAAAATCTCCACACCTACTAAATTTTCTGTGTCTGTCATTTGTAATTGTTTTCAGGTCTTATATAAGGCTCCCCTTACTTACATATTCATACACCAGGGCCAAAAACCATAAGGACCATGGGTTAGCATCTCTGGTTACTTCAGTATCAGAATGTGACCCAGTGCTTGACTTTTTGAAAGGACCATTATACACTATTCATGCATATCATGCGTCCATGCCAGAAGTTCCCTATTATTAAGTTATCAGCACATGTACTCACTTTCATGTTACTCCAGACCTTAGAATTACTTTCTCCCATGGATCATATGCGTAAAGTGGACATTGAGTCACGTTACTGTTTGAAAGTAGTTTAACTTTGAAAAATGTGTCTGGAAAGAAGACAGGGTTATTATAGTTAACTAAAACTGAGTCTGAAAACATAAAAAAAGATTTATTACTTGAAATAGAATATAAAAACACTCAATATATCAATAACATGATGTACTAAAACTGAAACTAAAATGATAAATAAACACAAAAAAAACGAAAATGACAAAAACACAAAATTACTAAAATTGGCGCAGAACTAAAAAATATAGAAATTATATAGACATTGAATTTATTTAAATGAATTACATTTACATTTACATTTAGTCATTTTGCAGACGCTTTTATCCAAAGCGACTTACAATTTGGGGATACATAAAGCGATTCTTCTTAAAGAGGCAAACAGATACAGGAAGTGCTTGTAATACCAAGTTTCTAGACATTGTGCAAATAAGTACAAGCTAGAAAGAGAAGGAATAAATGAGAGAGAATTTTTTTTTTATTTATTTTTTTATAATGATGATGATGAACCAAGAACTGATCCCTGAGGAACCCCAGTGACAAGTTGATGTGCTTTGGATACCTCCCCTCCCCAAGCCACCCTGAAAGACCTACCAGTGAGATAGGATTCAAACCAGCGAAGAGGAATCCCTGTGATGCCCAGTGAAGAGAGGGCAGACAGGAGGATCTGATGATTGACAGTGTCAAAAGCAGCAGATAGATCCAGCAGAATAAGAACTGATGATTTGGAATCAGCTTTTGCAATCCGCAAGGCTTCCGTGACTGACAGTAGCGCAGTCTCAGTTGAATGGCCACTCCTGAAACCTGACTGGTTAGGATCCAGTTTGTTGTTCTGTGAAAGAAACAATGATATCTGGTTGAAAACAACTCTTTCGAGGGTTTTCGCTATGAATGGAAGGAGAGAGACAGGTCTGTAGCTATCTGTAAGTGAAGTGTTTAATGTAGGTTTTTTGAGCAGTGGGGTTACCCGAGCCTGCTTGAATGCAGTGGGGAAGGTGCCTGTGAGGAGAGATGTGTTGATGATATGTGTGAGTGGTGGTAAAAGTGTAGGAGAGATTGCTTGGAGGAGGTGCGAGGGGATTGGATCTAGAGGGCATGTTGTAGGATGGCTGGAGAGGAGAAGTTTTGATACTTCTGCCTCAGTGAGGGGACAGAAGGAGAAGATGGGAGTTTTTGCAGTGGGTGTGGTTGGTTTGAAGTCCTGTGTGTGTGGGGCTGAGAATTGACTACTGATTGTTCTGGTTTTGTCTGTGAAGAATGTGGCGAAATCATCAGCTGTTATAGAAGTGATAGGAGGTGGTGGAGGGGGACAGAGGAGAGAATTGAAAGTTTTGAAGAGATTACGTGTGTCTGGAGCGCTGTTGATCTTGTTGTGGAAGTATGAAAATTTGGCAGTATGGACTTCAGCAGAGAATTAATTTAAACTATATAAACATTTAAATGAATAAAAATGACAACAAAATTACTAGTTTTAAAATTAAAAAGGAAAATATAACAACAAAAAATATTCAAAATATGGATTAAAACAATAATAGTACACCAATTATACTAAAATAACATTGATGTCAGAAAACTTGAAAAATGATAAGACCTATTTTATTTTATTTACATCTATTAAACACAAAGTAGATTATTATCTAGTCCCGTTTTCTGTCGTTAACAGAAGCGTTTTTGTAAGCTACTTTTATAAAGGTCAGAAACAGTTCAGACCTCACAGAGTTAATCTAGTGTACTGTAGTAGGCCTACGACAAAAGCCATTAAACTGCCGTTTGTCCTAAATGAGCAGGCCATATAGAGCATAGACATCTTACGCCTTCCTTCTCCTGCTCGCCATTGGTCCACACATTTTCATTCAACTCATCCTCACGACCTGATTGGCCAGCCTTTCTGTCAATCACTACCGCCGCTCATGATTGGCCGGTCCGAGTTCACTAGTGCGAAAAATCCATGGTCTCAGGTTTTGACATGTCACTAGAGCAAAGCCACCCGTCCGGTCAGAAGTAGAGAGAGTCGCTTCATGCTTCGCACGTCACAAGTAGTACAAACCAGACTCCAAAGCCGATTTACATCGTCTGAACAAAACAAAGCACTTGCCCTAACATTATGCAAACCGCCTAAAGTTGTGCACTTCACTTGAATTGAAACATGTCATCGATCCGTTTGTCTTTGGCCGGACGAAGCTGCGCTGACAGCGGACTGAGCGGATAAACGAGGCTGAATGTGACGGCTCGTCGCGTCGGTGAATGAAGAAGCACCAGCCGTTCGCTTCGAAGCAAAACACGTCCGAACATGGCTGACAGAACAGCTCCGAACTGTCAT